GGAACAGATCAGTGGGTCATCACCAAATCAATAGGTGACCCAACAGAAACTAGATATGTTTCAGTTAATATAATATTTTTTGAAAGCTGAATAACATGATTTTCATTAGTGAAATTGATTTCATGAATGAAACATTTTGAGAACTGGATGATATGATTTCATTAGTGAAATTGGTTTCATGTTTCCAAACCAAAATGAAATTGGTTTCATGGTTTCTAACAAAAATGAAATTGGTTTATTAATGAAACTAAATATGATTCAGTCAATGGAACATTTTGAAAACTAAATAATATGATTTCATTAATGAAATTAGTTTCATGGTTCGTAACTAAAATGAAATTAGTTTCATGAATGAAACATTTTGAAAACTGGATAACATGATTTCATTAATGAAATTTGTAAGGAAATCAATTTATTCATAAATTTTATAAATAAAACAAAACAATATACTCAAAATCTGAAAATTATCACAACTATATTATTAATAAATCTGGAAAGATTTGTAAACTAAAAAAAATACCGATTTCTTTTGTTATTATGAAAATGAAATTAAAAAATTTACCAAGAAAAAGATGATTATAAATAAACTCTGAAATTGATGAACTATTTTTATTTAATAAAATAATATAAAATATTAATGTTGGTAAGTATCTATTAGAAATAAATTGATTGATCGTTTCCTAAAAAACCTCTGATCTATATAATCTTTTAGATTTAGACACAATTAAATTATTGCCAAGATTATTTATTATAAGTTAAAGGACAATCATACTCTTATGCATTATAAATAAAGGAAAAAAATGGAATTATGTTATTGGTTGATGCTAGTTTGTATAGTTTATATGAAATGGAGGGTTTGCAAAGTAAACCACCTCTATGTATGTATGTATGTATGTATGTATGTATGTATGTATGTATGTATGTATGTATGTATGTATGTATGTATGTATGTATGTATGTATGTATGTATGTAGAGCTTTAAATGAGAAACCTTAAAAGAATAGGAGAAATAATCTTAACCACTAGTTTAAAATTCTATTTCTAAGTCTTATTTTACTAATTAAGACTAGAAGGGTAGTCGCGCAATGCAGCGAGATATATCCCGACTTCAATGTTTTCACTTTATCTTTTTTGGTCTATGTCGATGTTATAATATGAATTTATGTTGTTTTGAGCAAGTAATAACATTTTTCTTAATAAATTTGAAGATATCATAAAATTAAAAAATATATATAAAAATTCTCATTTTTTGTAATTTCTTTAATTCAATTTTTTATTATAATTTGATTTAGGTTTAATGACGAAGTAATTATTTTTTTGGTTTAATAATAACTAAGTACTCTATTAGAATTCAATAATTATCGTAATTATATTTTAAATATATTTAAAAATGAGAATTTATCTTATATTTGATTATATTTATCTACAGTTAGTTACACAAATTCCAATATGGAGCTTAATAAGTTGTAATTATGCAAAATTTACTTGTAATCTTGAGTTTTAAGTAACATGCATCAATAAACAGTATTTCATGTATAAAAGATTATTTTTAAGAGTTTTTGTCAAATGTTTTATAATATAATATAGATAAACTATGAAAAAAAAATCAAATATCTTAATTAATCTCCTACTTTTTTTAATAAAAATGTTTGGATATTGATAATCATTGATTTGTTAATCCAATTTTCTACCTTGAAATCTTGGAGATTAAACAATCCACAAATCGAACTAAATCTCATATGTGAACATTAATACCGATATTTTTCATTAGTTCATATGTGAAAATGCGAACCCTAACGTAGATTCACATGTGAATCTTAATCACAACTTTGTACGTAAAAATCAATCTAAAATTCATAATCGTGATTCTGAATTAGTTTGAAAATCATATGTCAAGACATTGATCTTAACATAGATTCACATGTGAATCTTAACTATAATTTGTACATAAAATTCAATTTATATTTTAAAATCAAGGTTCTGAATCAGTTTAAAATTCATATGTAAAGAAAAAAAGATGAATGGTAGAAAAAATCAAAATCAAAACAAAACAGCCGATTTTGATCACTTGTTAACATCAACAACTCGATAAATGAGGTTTTCCAAAAATATAAAACCATATAAGGTTACCGGTTTAACAAAGATTTCATAGCTCAAACCATCCCTAAACACTCAAAGATCCTTTTTCAAACCTGCTCCCATTTCGAGTACCCATACGTCAAAACGAATCATGTTTTTAATGAATCATCTAAAAAAGATAGTCACTTGTCATAAAAAAAATCAGTCTCGCGTGAAATTTTGTTATCATATTTAATGAATTATTGCATTAGTTCGTCGTGTTTTAAAATTTATCATCATATACATGAGAAAATATATCATAATGTTCTTACAAATACTTTAGGTACGCAACCAAAACCAGACCAGACCAAACAGATGAAAATGAGATAAGCAAAGCAGGTGATAGAATTACCCATCTTGTCTCGTATTCCTAATTGTTTTGATCGTATGATTTATATCAAATGTCTTTGAAAATGATATAACATTCCTCTAAATGTTTATACAACTTATTGACCAAAACATTCGATAATATAAGCCCCAATATCATTCGACTTCCATCGACAAGTAGCAACTGAATCTCCTACCATCACAGCATACAACTGTTTCTTCAAGATTAAGGTCACTTGGTTATGATATCTTCATGATGCAACATCAGAGAATTTGCCATCTTACTCGTGTTTTCTTATACCTCATCGTTTTCCTTATCCATGGATTCCGTCAGAAAGCTCAAGATGAAGTCGTCTATTTCACCTTCAAGTACTGAATCAGGGTCCGAAACTTCAAAATTGGTACGAAGATCCTTCACCATTCGATAAGGCTGCAAGAGTTTAGAGCAGTCAAATAAGATAATAACAAACATGACACTCGATGTCGTAGGACATGACAAAACAAAAACTTGTTGTCCCATATTTGGTGCGACAGGGACATGACAGAACAAAAACCTGTTGTCCCATGTTTGGTGCGACAGGGACATGACAGGACTGAATGGGACATAAATGCACTTTTTGTCCCACCAAAATAGTTGGAATCAAAATTAGAGAGACGGGATAAGATTGATAAATTACTAAACTAACCATGTCAAATTGAAATCCTAAAACCTTCCACGATTCCTTTGTCTACCTACGTCACTCTGGCCCGTCCAGTCATGTGTAGTCTGAACTACGTACAAAATGCACCCTCAGGATGGGACTGAACAAAACCTTGATGTCCCAAATTTGGAGCAACAGTAGAGACAAGACTAAATGGACTTTTTGTCCCACAAAATAGGTAGAACAAAAATCAGAGAGACGAGACAAGATTGTCAAATTACTAAATTACCCATGTCATATTACAACCCTAAAACTTTCCACAATTTTTTCACCCATTTACCACACTCCCGTCCGCTCTAGTCCAGTCCACATACCAAACACACCCTAAATAAGACAAATGTAGTAGACTACACGTACATGGAGTACATACGAACGTATTTGATTGCCCCAACTATTGTCAGTTAAAGACTGTGTATATTGTGCATTCATCTGAGCTTGGCGAACCATCTCACGTTGATCCAACCGCGATTGCAGTACCGCCATTGCAGAGGCCTTGTTCTGATGCTGTGACCTAAAAAAACAAAAACGGTCAACAGTTGGTGGATGGTAGGGCAATTGTGTAAATTATACCTTTCGTTTTGGCAAGATGCAGTGATTCCGGTAGGTATGTGAGTTATTCGTACGGCACTATCCGTTACATTAGCATGCTGCCCTCCGGCTCCTCCGGATCGGTATCTTTCTATTCGGAGATCCGATTCATTGATCTGAACTTGGTGAGATCCATCACCTAAAATGGGGGTCACGGCAACGGCGGCAAACGAAGTATGGCGGCGCTTGGCACTATCAAAAGGTGATATGCGAACCAATCGGTGTGCCCCTACTTCTGCTTTTGCATATCCGTATGCATATTCACCATCTACTCTAACCGTTGCCCTCTGATACAAACATCAAGAAACACCATTAACATAGTTGTATCTCTACTGTCTTGGTGTTTCTTTTTGAGAAATTTATATATTTATTTTTGGTAACTGTAGATGTTTGAGCCAGCTTGCAGGCACCTCGACTAATCCCATGGGGCCCTAAAGATAACGGCCAGAAAATTCTCAGTGGCCTCAAGGAGACTCGAACTGGCCACTTACAGAGAGGATCGCCAAGGCCTAGCCTTTGTTTTCCAGCTGAGGTAGCCTTGGCCCTTGCAAACACATCAACATTCTTGCATAAATGTGAGAAATAACAATGGTCGAATAAGTTATTCATCGCTCTTTTCTTTTTCATTTTTATCAGATTTCTTTTCTTATGTTTTTATCTTAAAGAAAGAACGTAAAGAACGAATGAGAGATAATGCATGTTAAACCTTAATTCCTGCAATCTCACCACGCATTTCATCCACAACAGTGACTCCATATCCATGGCGTTGAGCCCACATTTTATACATTTGCATCACCATACCTGCCCAGTCCATGCTCTCGGTGCCGCCTGCCCCAGCTTGAACCTAACATATAGTAGTCCATTAAGTGCAACTAAAGTGTTGCCACCCAACAAAATTAACAAAATTATGATCCCAATTACTCCCTCCATCTCAAAATATGAAATATAGTTTAATGAGTAGGGTGGCCAGTGGGTTCAACAAAAAACACTAAAAAAGGAGAAGGGGATTCATCCAAACTATCCATCTATCTTTATCCAATGGTTGAGAATACTAGGGGCGGTTATATTTTGCCAAAACTAAATTCATGACCATAGAGGTGTTTAACACATGCACTTTGAGCGTATGGATCAAAAGGGTGATGTTGGCCAAATTTATGTAGCGACTACTAATAGCTGCTAACCTCGTCTTTGACTGATAATCAGATATCTAAAATATCCATAAACCATCACAAATAGGGGAATCTTGTGAACCAAATTAATGCGATCACCTATCAATATGTTGCAATAATACCAACGGGCAAGGAGTAAACTCTGGATTTATGTGGAACATCCCAACAAGAAAATTGGGTCTTCACAAAACAACCGCTCTACTCTTTAGGATAGAGGTCAGGTCTGCATACATCTTACCCTCCGCATACCTGATACCCCCACCTTCGGGTGGAAGATAATGGGTTCATTTGGTTTGGTTTGGTTATCCCAACAAGAAAATTATTGTATTTATTTTATGGCAGATGGGATTAGTTTAATGCTACACTCCATAAAAAGGTCGTCAGCCCTTGGGGCAAGACGTCTTCATAGGCACCCAAAGTTCTAAGGACAAAACCAACCTCCATGTAACATGAGCAAGAATCATGTTCCCCAGCTAGCAAAGCTTCAAGCTCCTTTTCTTTCAAACTTTGTCTCATCTTCAACAATGCTTTCACTGATTCCTGTACCACATTTAGTAAGAGTTAAAACAGTACCATGCTCAAAAATCTTATAAATTTAAAAATACATCAGTTTGATTTAAAAGAGTGCAACGAGTATTAGTCACACACATTAATAGTTGCAAGAAATGGAAAACCATACACAATCTTGTCTTTAGTAATTTGCCTGCACCCAAAGCTGTAGCAAGAATTCTTATATATCTTGTTAACTTCAATAGTATATCAATAAACAAAATATTCAGGTGTATTTTGTGGTAGGAATTCAAACAAAACAGGATAAGATCAATGAATGGTCTTCCTAACTGTCAAGAATGACAGTATTTTAACACAATCAAACACTGTATCAAACAAAGGGCTCACTTCAGATAACCGCGCATTAGAAGAAAACATGGAGCACTACTCATGTAACAAAAAACAGGCACAAAAGAAAATAAGTGGCTAGTAAAACAAGAATTGAGGCCCACCAATTCCAAATCAGGATCGTCCTCTTCACGAGAAAGCTTGATCATGTCAATATGCTCGAGTAAGCCTTGCTCAAGTCCATTAACTTCCTTCATTTTACCCATGAGCGTGCCATGCTCTCGGCTTATTCGCGCAGCATGAGCAGGATCATCCCATAGGTCTGGCTTTTCCAACTGAAATGAGAGCATCTCCAGCCTTACTTTTAACTTCTTCCACTGCCACACCAACAAATAAGACTATTACCAACCATCAATAAAAAAAAATGGGATTTTGATCCCAAAAGTATAATATCACTTCAAACCAAAACCAAATCACTATATAGACAATTGAATAAATATTTCTACAACTTAACAGGAAAAACATGCATGATGTTCAGTTCTGGATTATATTCATCCAAAACAAAACTCCATATTAGCGTCCATCCTAATATTAGAACATTCAATCGCTATAATTCTCAAATTCAAGTTTCACCTTAAGAACCCCAGTACATGCTAGGTTTGCAAGGTTATTTAGGAGACTAACCTTCTGACATATTTTTTTAAAATCCATGATCTTCTGAAAGACTTTAAGGCATTCATGTATTAGAAAGAGGCATTCTTCTGTTAGGCGGCGACGTTCTTAAATCTATTAGAAGGTCATGCATTTAAATAAATGTCATAAGGTTATTCTCCTAAATAACTCTAGGTTTGCAAGGGTTGAAAGATGAGTCTTTGTATACAATAATTCCCTTGTGTTTCAGAAAAAGGCTATGTCCATAACTCTCATTTGTCTAACCGTCTAATCCTCATAGGGCCACCCTCGATCTTCACATTGATGCATTTAGCCTTTTTTAGCTTAATTTTCTTATGGTAGCACTCTTCTCATATATAAATGTAGTACTTCTTGCTTCCTTTTACATAGCTATCAATTCTTTCTCAATAACTTCAAATTTCATATCAACTTTGGAAGAAAAAGGTAAGAAATCAAACAAAGACCCTTGATTTGGAAGACAGAAATGTGGGTCAAATTAACAATTTCTCCAAATGCCCTGACGAGGCTCAAAGTTAGCAACATTATAGAACAAAATAGATACACAAACTGAAAGCTTGAACATTTCAGTAAAAAGGAGAAGCACTCTGGTATTAATTTACTTTGGTTATTTGAATCTAAATTGTTTTAATACTTAGTTCAACTGTTTAAGTCCTCTGCCTTTGATAGATTCAAGTAAGTATATTCATTGTAGTATTCAAGTAGAATGCTCACGCATATCTATTAGGCTCCTCTGTCGCTGATCCATGTATATATATGATAACTTATGTTTAAAGGATAAGTAAAGTAACACATACACACACAGAAGAAAATTGCAAATACCAATCATTTTAGGGGTCTACAGTCAAATTAGGACCATGCTACTTACACTTGAGCTATCCTTACGGATGGACACGTAATGCATATTGCCAATTTATATGCTTCACTTGCTATGAGACTTTGGTTGTGTTTTGTTCCTATGTGCAAGCATTTTGTTTAAAAAATAACATTTGACCTCTACAGGATCTGAAAACTGCCATTATCGAATGAGATGTGATTGGTGGAACATGTGTTACTCATGGTTGTGTTCCTTCCAAGGCCCTTCTTGCTGTAAATAGCCAAATGTGGGAACTCCAGAATGAACCCCACATGAAGTCATTTGATTTACAGATATATTTATTTCCCAGCACTAAAATCATTCTTATTTTATGCATGTTTAAGGGTCCTATATTTACCAGTGTCTAGCTTCGACGTTTTTGAGTCATTTGTTTCCCTTGCGTGTCCCTGTGTCCAAAGAGATTCATCCATGTACTCTCATTTCAATCTCTCTTTTAGTGCTTTTCTATTTGGGGTTTTAAACAGTTCCTTGTCAACTAGACCCTCTACCATTAATCGAGGAACAGGAACAGTCAAAAGTATTGTCAGGTTTAGAGGCAACTTTATATTCAATAAGGGGTTGTTTGGTTGTTTTTTCCATTAAGCTTTTAGCTTGGTATGGATTAAGCTGTCTTAATGGATTAGATTGTCTATATAGATTGAGTTAAATTGTTGTTTGTTAGTTGTGCTGAATAAAGCGGGGCATCATGTCAGACAACAACCGCATCACAAGTGGTTATTGTATATTCCTAGGCTTCAATCTTATCTCATGGTCTTCTTCAAAGCAAAAAGTTGTTTCCCGTTCCAACACTGAATCTGTGGTCTTGCAAATGGCAGTTCTGAAAATTATGTGGGTACAATTTGCTTTTCGATATTTCCATTTGTCTTTATTTGGATCACCTGTGCTATTATGCGGTAACAATTGAGCAACTTACATGATGTCTGTTGGAACTTATGGGTTTTATCTACAATTTTGTATATTATGTATCCCACATAGATGGGTGAGAAAAGTGAAAGTGTGTTAATAAATACTATTCCACTCAAATGTTTGAAAGTCTTTTAGGAGGCTTTTGGAGGGAATTGGTGGATGATTAATATATATTAATTAATCAAAGACTTAGCACTTTTGCACCTTTGCATCCTTAGAAAAATAATTTCGTCATTATTTTTATACAGAATTAATTCTGTTAATGGCGGTTATTTTTGGAGGGAAAACGTAATGGTAGTTATTTTTTGAGGGAAAACGTAATGGTAGTTAATGGTAGTTATTTTTTAAGGGACAACGTATTGGTAGTTAATGGTAGTTATTTTTGGTAGTTAACTTTCCAAAAGGTGTGTTGATTCATGAAGAGTCATGTTGATTCGTTTTAACTACTATATAAGAGTGCATATGAATAGATAACATTATCTGATACACTTTCAACACATACATAATTACAATCGTTTGATGTTCATGTGAACTTTATGTACGCTGCATAAAGTTCTGTTAATTGAGGTTGAATCCTAGGAAGAAATTAGTCTCGAACCACCGGCGTAAATAGTGGGGGCTAATATTCTTTAAGGATAGTGATTATCACGTCCTCAATTCTGAAGATCTGTCATATTTCAACAATCTTAAAGAATATTAAATCATGGATCAGAGTGCTGGTTTAAGGATTTCTGGAAGCGACACAATCAAACTGGATAGAATGGATGGGATGAACTTTACTCGCTGGAAGTATAAGATGAAATTTCTGTTAACTGCATTCAAAGTTTACTATGTTCTGGAAGCGCCACACCCACACATAGGCGTTCTGACTGAAGAGGAACAAAGGAAGCGTGATCAAGATGAAACACTATGCAGGGGATACATTCTGAGTACCCTCACTGATCGATTGTATGATCTGTACACACCAATGACTTATGCAAGAGAAATCTGGAATTCTCTTGAAGAGAAATACACCGCTGAAAAGGAAGGGACATATAAGTTCATCACTTTTAAATTCTTTGAATTTACTATGGAAGATAATGTTTCTATCTTAGATCAAGTTCATGAATTTCTCATTCTGGTTTCCAAATTCAAAAATCTTAACATTGAAATCCCAAAAAAATTATTGGTTGGGGCCATCATTACAAAGTTACCATCTTCTTGGCACAATTACAAGAAGAAATTGATGCACACTTCAGAGGATCTTACTTTGGATCAGATTCAGAAACATTTACGAATTGAAGAGGAAACTCGTATTCGTGAAAAGAATCTGAATGGTGCATCAAGTTCTCAGGTTAATTATGTTGATTCAGGAAAGAACAACAAAGGAAATGACAAGAAGAGAAAAGGCACATGGAATTCTTCCAAGAACAACAAGAAAGACAAGAAACCATTGTCTGAAGTTGTGTGTTACAAGTGTGGTGACAAAGGGCATATTAAACGTTACTGCAAGAATCCCAAAAAGAAAAATCAGAATTCAAACAAGAAGGATGAATCTGCAAATGTTGTGGAACAAGTTGATACCACAGAAATCACTGCTATGGTTTCTGAAATGAACATTGGAATGATTCAGGAACTGCATATGGCTGGTATGACAACAACAACTGATGATTGGTGGTATGATTCTGGTGCAACTACACATGTTTGCAACAACAAAGACTTGTTCAAAACTTATAAGGAAACTGAAGATGGACATGAAGTGATGATGGGTGATAATCATACTTCAAAGGTTGTTAGCTCAGGAAACGTGGAGATCCAATTCACATCTGGAAAGAAGTTAACTCTTATGAATGTTCTTCATGTTCCTAACATTAGGAAGAATCTTGTTTCTGGTTTTAAACTTTGTAAAAGTGGGGTTAAGGCTGTGATAGAATTGGACAAAGTGATTTTGTCCAAAGCCAATGTATTTGTAAGAAAAGCATATGCTTGTGATGGCATGTTCAAACTCAATATCAATAAAATTGCTAGTTCTGCTTACTTGCATGTTTGCAATTTTATTTCCAATTTTAATATTGAATGTTCTACTTTCAATTTATGGCATCATCGTTTAGTACACATAAATTATAGGACTATGAAAGATATGTTAAAACAAGGCATTATTTCCTATAATGGTGAACATAAAGATAAATGTGAAATATGTGTTCAAGCGAAAATGAAAAGAAAACCTTTTCCTAAAATGGATAGACAATCTGAAATTTTAGAGTTAGTGCATTCTGATATATGTGAATTGAATGGACAACTAACTAGAGGTGGAAATAGGTGTTTCATAACTTTCATTGATGATTGTTCTAGATATACCTATGTTTATTTGTTGAAATCAAAAGATCAGGCGTTTGAAACATTCAAAATATATAAGGCTAAAGTAGAAAACCAAAGAGGCAAAAAGATACAAATTCTAAGAAGTGATAGAGGTGGTGAATACTTTTCCACCGAATTTTCTTCATATTGTGAATCACAAGGTTTGATTCATCAAAGGACAGCACCGTATACACCTCAACAGAATAGTGTTGCTGAGAGGAAGAATAGAGTTTTGCAAGATATGATTAATGCTACGTTAGTCAGTACAAACTTGCCAAAGAATTTGTGGGGTGAAGCCTTGCTTACAGCATGTCATGTAAGTAATAGAATAATTGCAAAGGAACTAAAAGTGTTGCCTTATGAAATCTGGAAGGGTAAAAAGCCTAACATTAGCTATTTTAGAGTTTGGGGTTGTTTAGCCTATTATAAGGTTCCCTTACCTCATACATCTAAATTAGGACCTAAAGGTTTAAAAAGTGTATTTGTGGGATATGCAAAAAATTCTAAATCTTATCGTTGTTTAGATTTAGATTTGAATGTTATTATTAAAGCAAGAGATGTAGATTT